AGAGAGAGAGAGAGAGAGAGAGAGAGAGAGAGAGAGAGAGAGAGAGAGAGAGAGAGAGAGAGAGAGAGAGAGAGAGAGAATGAGTGTGGTCCTTTCTTTTCCTTTTTTTTCTTTTCCTATGGTTGGTTCTTGGAGCAAGCTTGGCCAGGGGCACTTTACAACCAGAACAAGGCTGAGCTGGGTCTCCTATGCCTATGATTCATGGACATGGACATGTGTACATCCAGGTTCATGATACACACTCCCCTGGGACAAGCCGTCATCTAGGCACACTCTGACAAGGGCGATCTTGGAAGAAGCAATGCCAATAGTGAGAAGAGGTAACACCACCCTTCTTCCTGTGTGTGTGGGGTTCTCTTCTTACTTCTCAGTTGATGACATAGGTGGTAGACATAGGTGGTAGGTACTTCTGCTTGTGCTGCGGTGGTTTTGTACGTAGCCCTAAGATTAGACGTCTGCTCGTGGGTGGGTCTGCATAGATCTTCGCTGCCACGGGTTATCCACCTGCTGCATAGATCTTTGCTGCCGCGGGTTATCCACCTGCTGCATGAATGTATATGTATGTGGGGTTGATATATTATAGTAGTGGGTGGCCTGAGAGTTGCTTTGCTTTTTCTTTGTCTCTGTGGTGGTGCCAGGCTTCGCTTGATATGAGTTGGGCCTGGCTGGTGTGCCTCGCCCATGTCCGATGGCCACCCCTTGGGATGATTGTGAGGGGTGCTGGGGCCGTTTCCTGGCTCCCGGAAAAGACATCTTAGTTTTTGCGTCAGAAAAAGAAAAAGAAAAAGAAAAAGAAAAAAAAAAACACGAAGATTGTCCACTGTTTGATGAGCTGTGAACTGGAATCTGTGTGATGGCAGGACCGATGCTGCGACCGATAGTTGAAGCGAACATTCAGAGGTCTCTTCATCGAATGAAAGTTGGTTCGCTTGACATGCTGCAGTTTCACTGGTATGTATTGAATCTATTTATAGATTGGATATGTGGGCATAATACCCAGCTTCCACTATGGAGGGTTTGTCTTGCCTCCATACTGTTTTGATTCTGTTACATCCCCCTGCTCACCAACATGCGTAGCTCAGTTGATACACCCATTAAACTGTTGAAAATTGAAATACATACTCATGTTCGAATCCAGACACTACCAGATGGAAAGAGTAAAAGTCATTCTGAATTACCTGCGGCCGGTCAGTTCAATCATAATATCTCAAGGCCTTCTGATGAGCTAGAGAGGCGGCTCTGGAGAAACGCCGCATAGAGGGCTCCGCCAATAGGAGGCTATTTGAATCGTGTTCTTCCTTTCAAAGTCTCCTTTTCAGGGAGTGGTGCCACTGCCTCCATCTTTTTTTTTGTGTGTTTTTTTGTTTTTTTTTTTGTTTTGAAAAACAGTCCGGCTGCTAGCCACTGCCTCCATCTATGGTGTCTGATGGACAAGTGTGGGCATGTGGTTGTGTTGAAAGCTCGCTGGCTCCTCTGTCTTTCCCGGAAACAGTCCGTTTAGCTGCAGCTGTCTCTCCTAGCTCCCGTGTCATCACACAGGCAGGAGACGCACAAAAG